TTTTCCCAAAACTGCAGCAATTCCCTGGATTTCTGGGCAGTGACAGCTGCCCTGGCACCACGTGCCCTGCAGGAGGAGATTTCCCCCTTCCAGGAACCTCATTAGTGCAGGGGTTAATTAGTGGATCAGATAACCCCGGCTGCTCTCCAGGACTGGTTGCAATCCACTGTTCCCAGCTTTGGAATTCCACAGCAGAACTGAATTCTAATTCTAATTCTAATTAAAATAATTAATGAGCTGGAATTCTGCACTTCCAGGGCGTGCTGTGACCAGGACGAGGCTGCACCACCCCATGACCCAGAGGTGTGGGGTTGAATTTATTCTCATTTTGGTGAAATTTGCTGTCTCAGGCCTGGGGAGCAGAGATAAAGGAGTTTGTTTTTTTTTTTTTTGGTTTTTTTTTTGGTTTTTTTTTTCTGCCCTCGGGGCTGGCAGGAAAAGTGCCAAGAGATAAAGGATCGGCAGGGAGGGGAACATCCAAACCTCCAACAGCACCTTCCATCCCAAAGCCAGGTGTGCTCCAGGCAGGTGGGAACGATGAGGTTATCGCGGTTTAGGGGTTTTTAAGGTGAAAAGAAATCGCAATTATGGGATTTTTAACGTTGCCGAAGGGGGGCTCTGCAGTTTTTGAGGTCACACTGAGGTGACCAAATCCTTTGTTTGCAGATGGATTTGGCCAATCCCTCTCCCAAGTTCGCTTCCAGCAGCTCTTGGGCAACAAGGCTCAAGTCCAGATCTCCGAGTGATTACAGCAGCTCATTAAAACGGGATTTTGGGGCAAATTTTAACTCTTCTGCTGCAGGAAAAACAAAGCAGCAACCGCAGAGCAGCACCTGGGGACGAGGAACAACTTGAATCCTTTGTTTGATCCTCTGGAATTCAAATATTTCCTCTCTCAGATAGATCAGGGTCACAACACGCCTTGGAATCAGAAAAACATGGAATGGTTTGGGTTGGGAGGGACCTTAAAGCTCGTCCTGTCCCTTCCACTACGCCAGGGGTGGCCTTGGATAATTCCAGGGATGAGGCAGCCAAACCATCCTCACAGGGAAAAAAAAACCCAAAAAAACAACAACAACAAAAAAAAAAACAGGTGGGAAAAGGAGCAGAGGATAAAAATCCGGAATTCCTGCGTTGGTTCCAGCTCCTGCCCGCTCCTTACAGCGCCCAGGGCAGATCCCGCCGCTCCCATTCCAGCCCCAGGTGACAGAATGGGACTGCCCGGATGGAATTCCTAAAATTCCCCAGTCCCTGGCTTTTCCAGGTCCCTACCCAGCCTGGGGTGTTTCCCGGGATTCCCACAGGGAGATTTGGGGTCGTTCTCTGCCCATCTCCCCTCGGCTTCCAGAGGAACCGGGAGCCAAAAATCTGGGGGGTTTTTCCCCCCGAAAACCACCGTGTTCCTTCCCCCCCAAAAAACCCACCCTGTTATGCCCCAAAACCACTCCATTCCTGCCCCCAAATCACGAAGCTCCTTCCCCTAAAACCACCGGGTTCTTTCCACCAAAACCACCCCATGTTCTTGACCCCAAACTCACCCTGCTCTCTACCCCAAACACCCCGGTCTTGCCCCCCAAAACCACCCCGTTCT